ATAAATAGTGCTTTGTTATAATAATCCAGAAATTTTAAAAAGATGAAAAATTGGTTAATGGAATGTCATGGACTTAACAAATAGCTATACACTTTTAGGCTTTCCTATCTGAACTTTGCTGGGATAGTAAGACTAGTGTAGTTTATTATGTTCATATTTGCTCTATATACTTGTTGTTGTTATGTGCCATCAAGTCGCTTGCGACTCATAGCGGCTCTATGTACAAGAGCCCTAAACACCGCTCTATCCTGCGACAACCTCGCTGTCTCAAACACTCATTCCTACCACTCCACTCACAGAATCGATCCATCTCATCGAGGGTCTTCCTCTCCTGCACCATCCCTCCACTCTCCCAAACATGATGTCCCTCTCCAAGGACCAGTCCCTCCTTGTAACATGGCCAAAGTATGTCAGACGAAGCTTCAGAATCCTTGACTCCAAGGAGCATTCTGGCTTCACCTTCTCCAGGACAAACCTGTTTGTTCTCCTAGCAGTCCATGGTATATTCAACACTCTTCTCCAGCACCACAGCTCAAAGGCATCAATTTTCTTTCTATCATCCCTATTCATTGTCCAACTCTCCGATGGATAGCACGTAATTGCGAAGACTATAGCCTGGATCAGGCGGTACCTTAGTCTCCAGCCCAATGTCGTTGCTCTCCAGTACTCTTGAGAGGTCCCTCACAGCTGATTTTCCCAATGCAATTTGTCTCCTGATTTCCTGGCTGCTGTTACCAAGAGTGTTGACTGTGGAACCAAGTAAACTAAAACTGTTAACTATCTCAATCTCTTCACCATCCATACTGATGCTGCCAATGGCCCAGTGGTGAGAATCTTTGTTTTCTTGATGTTGAGCTTCAATCTATATTGACAACTGCAGTACTTAACCTTCTGCAGCAAGAGCTTCAGGTCCTCTTCAGTTTCAGCAAGCAGGGTTGTGTCATCAGCATGACGCAGGTTGTTGATGATTCTTCCTTCTATTCTGATGCCACAATCTTCCTTGGACATCCCAGAGTCTCAGATGATCTGTTCTGCATACAGATTGAAAAGGTATGGAGACAAAATACATCCCTGACAGATCCCTTTCTTGATTTTGAACCATCAAGTGTCTCCCTGCTCTGTTCTGATGACTGCCTCTTGGTCCAACTATAGGTTTCGCATTAGCACAATCAAGTGTATATATAGTTATAGACAGAAAAAAAATAATTTAGGCTTTAAGTAAGTATTTTCATAAAATATTAAATATAAAAAGTTTGAAAAAAGTTCAGGATATTTTTCTGCTTGCTTGAAAGGACAGTGAAAACTTGGTATTAAAAAAACACGCCAACATAAGAGACTTTCCCTCTAGTTGAATAAACAACTCTGCTCTAGTTTTGGTAAGATACTGGTGGTGTCTCCTAAGCAAAAGCAAGAACAGCACCACTTAACCTCATCCAAATTAAACTAGATTTAAATCTCAAAATGTTTAACTACTCTTATATATCTCCTTATATAAATGTAACAAAAAATACTGGCCTAAGAGTTGAGTTAAACACCTCAAGAGTTCTTCGTCTTCTTGTCCATAATGCATAATCACAGTATGTTATCAAAAAGGTGTAATTAGGAGAATCTGGTGGCCTATTGGCAAAAAGCTACACTGCAATCTCAGAGGTGCGCCATTGGAATGCACCAGATGCTCTACTGGAAAAGGAGGGACAATCTCCTTCTGTACCAGTCAGATCTGATTTGACAGTACACACACACACAAAAAAATTTAAAAGAAAAAGAGGAAAAAAATGTTTTTTAAAAAGGTTATAATTAGACAAGAGAAGTTAATGCCTTATTTAAAAGTAATCTACCAAAACTCAAGAATACCTCACTATACCTTGGGATTTTAAAATTCTTATCACCCAGTGGGTTATTTCCTACATTTTCTTAATTCAAGATGTACAGTGGCTTTATATCAGACAACAATTATAGGTCATTTTAAAAAATAAAATGTTCTAAGGAACTCATGCAATAGTATTCAAAATGGGTGACCCTGGAGGACATTATGCTGAGTGAGGTATCTCAGTCACAAAGGGACAAATGCTATATGGTGCCACTGTTGTAG